TGCGCGTAATAACTTCGTATTAGCATGGCATTATCGAAGTTATAAACAACTCACTAAGCATATTACGCTGTTCACAGATGGTGCCGGTTACCTCAGGAAAGACCAGGTGCAGCTATTAAATGACCAGGGTATAGCGGTTATTACTACCCGGCTGGAGGAACTGCATTGTACTGATAACAAACTCACCTGTGTGGTGCTGAAAAATGGTGAAAAAATTGCTTGTGATGCTGTGTTTGTGCACCACGGTTATAAAGTAAATAATGAATTGCTATTACAGCTGGGCGCCAGGTGCACCAGTAAAGGTGCAGCCGTTACCAACCGGCGGCAGGCTTGTAATATCCCCGGGCTGTATGTGGCGGGCGATGCGGCTATAGATATCCATTTTGTTGCAGTTGCCGCAGCTGAAGGCACCAAGGCGGCAGTTGCCATTCATGATGATCTTATGAAAATAGCCAATAATACACTTTGGCTTCAACGCAAAGAAAGTTAAGCATTAATAAATACTGGCACTATAATTGATGAGTCCTAATTCACAGTTTCCCGGTTCAGGTCAGATACTTCACGCGGAAGTGTACGTAAGAAAAAACTTAATCAAATAAAAATAATGAAATAAAATATTGAATGACAAACTATTAATCATAGTTTCAAAAAAACAAAAATATAGCCCCCGCCAAAAAACACCTACATTTGTCACATACAGTCACTAAAAAAGCCATATCTTACTCCGTTGCTTTCAATTATACCATTTATGCGTTCACGGCTTTCATCTACCATTGTTTTCCAAACAAGTTTACTTCTTGGCTTATTATTGATAGGGTTCGAGCCCTATAAAGCAGCGGGACAACAACAAAAATCAAGGTCGCAGGCAGCGTCGGTCCGTATCGGGCAGCAAACTCTTTATCCGGAGAAAAGTGCACAGCAATGGCTGGATAGTTTACAGAATGATCCGCAAAAAGAGCATCCGCTCCAGGTAGTGCTGCGGCTCAACACCCTGACAGCTGAGGAAAAAATCAAGCTGGAAAAACAAGGTATCCATTTGCGCGACTACCTGTCCAATAATACCTGTATCGCCACCTTAGTAAAACCAGGCATTTTATCAGACGCCGTTAAAGCAGGTCTTATTCAATACATCATCCCGGTACAGCCGGAATGGAAAATGGGACAACTCTCCATGGATGCCATCCAGGACAAAAAATCGCCCAAATGGCTGGTGTCTTGTGAACCCAATATAACGGAAGCTGATTTCCTGCAACAGTTAAAGGCTGTTGGCGGTCATCTGTTATACTCTCCACTGGCCGAACAACGCTTTTACGAGATAAGCCTTGGTGCCGATAAGATCAAGACACTGGCTGCCTGGTATGGCATCCGCTCTATTGGTTTATCCGGGGAAGATCAACCCCTGAATTTCGAGTCGACTGCCGCCACCAAAGTGAGTATTGCACATCTGGATCCTGTTTATGGCGGCTACGGCCTGATGGGCGACAGCATTACCGTTGGCATCGGTGAAACCGGGCCAGGGATGAACAATATTGACCTGCGCGACCGCATTATCAACTACAATCCGCTACCATATACTGCTCATGGCATCC